AACAATTGGACAGATGGAGATGACTGAGAGTTTGGAGATTTTTTGTTTATTTGGGATTTTTTGTTTATTTGCCTGTTTTGGAGTTTGGGGTGGGTTTGGTTTGTCGGCTTTGGCTTGGTTTTTGTTGTTTTTTGGTGGTCTTTTTTTTTTTTTGAGGGGGGCTGTTTTTCTTTTTTTTATTTCAAAAATTACAGACTATAACTGACAAAAAGGCTCCAAGCAAAATAGATCTGAACAGATAGAGGTAAATGTTCCTAGGTACTATGTTTGTATTTCTGGCTCACGTGCACGGAATAATATTGATTGGCAGATTTTAGATTGGAAAGAGTTTCTAAGGTCGAATTGGAAAAAAATGAGTTAAAAGATGGGTGAAGGTATCACTTTCACTAATTATGATCAATTAGGCATGTCCCATTTAATAAACTCTCCATCATTGCTGGGGCCTCATACATACTTGGCACTATAGCTTGTTCTTTCTGTTCTATGCCTGTGGCATGCAACTGTTACCCCTGAAGATATAAATTAACTAGTCATCATGCCAAAAATATATGTGAATCATGTAAAACTGTATTATAGAGGAGATCAAACTGGGTGATCTTATGGTGCTTTCTTACCTTAGAGGAAATTACTTTTAGGAAATGAAGGCTCTATGCTGTTTCCATTGATCACAATATGAGTTTTGATACCAGTGCCAACAAAATTCCTATAAATTCAAAGCTAGCCTAGGCATATTCAAACACGCCAGCTTTCCTGATAGTTGTGAGTTCAAAAGTCTCTTGAAAAGCTCAAATAACACAACACTGCAGCCCACTGCATTACACGGGGTTTGCTGAAGGGGAAATGGAGATTTTTCTTGCAAATGACCTAAGTAATGTTAACTATTACACACTATTTATGCTGCTTTTATTTACATAACCAGCTACCAAATCACCATTACTGCACTGTTACTGTACTTACTCCTTATGAAAGAGCCATAATTCTGATATCATGGTCCTTTCTCCAGAAAGATCCTACCCATCATGGCACCTTTTCTTCCCAGACTATATGTAATAGAAGATATTTGCAATCCAGTAGAATTCTGGCATATGGGATCAACATCCAAAGTCCCATTATTCCTCTTATTTTTTTATTTCCGTTTTGGATAAATGGCAACATTTTGACCAGCTCTATTTGACCACAGAATATGGACAAAACAGTGTGGTGTGTCAGTATGGTAATTACTGCAAATACACAGTAATTTCTGGATATGTATTAGACATCTCACTGCCGGCTGGCTTCAGCTTCACAAGTCAGCTGCCAGCTGACTTGAAAAGCTGGAGCAGCTACCAAGCTGCTTTTAAAGCAATTTCTGTGGCTACACTTGCAGCGATCCTACCAACAGCTGCTGCATGAGGAGTGGGAAGGGAAGGCCAATAACCAGTTGTTTTGGAGTAACTGTTCATGGCTCATTCAGAAAAAGGCCCTTTCCAGGCTCAGAAACAAGTTTTGTGTGGAAAAGGATTGTGTGGGAGACAGCAAACACCAGCATGTCTGAGGCATTTCATAGAATCACCGAATCATTTAGATTGGAAAGCACCTTTAAGATCATTGAGTTGAACCATCAACCTGGCATTGCCAGTAAAGCACTAAACCATGTCTCTAAGCATATCTACATGTCTTTTAGATATCTCCAGGGATGGTGACGCAACCATTTCCCTGGGCAGCCTGTTCCAATGCTTGACAGCCCTTTCAGTGAAGAAATTTTTCCTAATATCAAATCTAAACCTCCCATAGTGCAACTTGAGGCCATTTCCTCTCGTCCTATTGCTTGTTACTTGAGAGAAAAGACTGCCACCCACCTCACTAAAACCTCCTTTCAGGTAGTTGTAGAGAGCTATAAGGTCCCCCCTAAGCCTCCTGAAAAGGGCGGCTAAACAGCCAGGCTAAACAACCCCAGTTCCCTCAGCTGCTCCTCTTAAGACTCGTTCTCCAGACCCTTCACCAGCTTCATTGCCCTTCTTTGGACACACTCCAGCACCTCAGTGTCTCTCTCATAGTGATGGGCCCAGAACTGAACACAGTATTCAAGGTGTGGCTTCACCAGTGCCAAGTGCAGGGGGATGATCACTGCCCTAGCCCTGCTGGCTACGTTGGTGCTGATACAGGCCAGGATGCCGTTGGTCTTCTTGGTGACCTGGACACAAGCTGGCTCATATTCAGCTGGTTGTCGACCAACACCCCCAGGTCCTTTTCCACCAACCAGCTTTCCAGCCACTCTTCCCCAAGCCTCTAGCATTGCATGGGGTTGTTGTGACCCAGGTGCAGGACCCAGCACTTTGCCTTGTTGAACCTCGTACAACTGGCCTCTGCCCATCAATCCAGCCTGTCCAGATCCATCTGCAGAGCCTTCCTATCCTTCAGCAGATCAACACTCCCACCCAACTTGGTGTTCTCTGCAAAATTACTGATCACTCTAAGTTTTTCTACAAACTTATTTGCACTTGATCCTCTCATCCAGATCATCACAAAGATATTTAACAGAATTGGCCCCAGACTTTGTATTGAAGAAGTTTGTTTCCTACTGTTGTCTCATTAAAATGTACAAGCCGTATCCCACAGCATGTTAACAGCATGCATGTTAGGAAGAATATTGGGCAGTTTTATATTAGGACTTTTTATCTGGTACATATCATTCAAGGACTAAACACGAATTTAGGGGATGCCTGAAAATTCAAAGAGGTGGTAAAAACACCAGTAAGGAAAGAATCAAACCATGTTGTTAACCTGCAAAATCATTCCAAAATTTCTTGTATTTCACAACTGACTTGGTGCACATCTGCAGGACCGTATTATGGCTCTGAAGTTACAGGGCCAAATTGTTTTGCTGTTCATTCCAGAGTGAATGTCAACATTCGTCTTGTTTTGCAGCACCTTGCTGGGTACACTTTGTCAAACTTTATCAGTACATACCGTGTTAGTTCTCCCAAAGCAGATCCTCTGTTTCCTAGTCACCTGGAATAGTACCCCATCCTTTATGAAAGGGCTACTTATAGAAAGATTCATCAAGCTATTAACCTCCCCACACTCTGGTCCTGTTTCTTCAGAAGTTTCATTTGCCAATTTTGTGTTGTAGCAAGAGGTACAACTCCTCTAGCTGGTGATAAACAAGTTACACTCACGACCCACCACCTAAATGCTCCAGAATAGCACACCAAAATGCTCAAAGGCAAAGGTGTGCAAGATGGAAATGGGCTTGACACAGGTACTGTTAAATAACATGGCAGAAAAACAAGGGGTGAAGAAAGATCCTTGCTGTCATGGAAAGTTTAAAAAAGAGCAAGTGCCCACTATTTCCTGAACTTTCAAGGCCTGGCACTGAGCCCACGTGTCTCCTAGGAGAAGGATTTTCACTGAAATCCTGGCCTTTAGGAAACCTGATGGGGAACATTAGAAAGACCAAAGAGGGTATGCTTTGAAAAACACCCAGCAATGCCACAGAGGTGAGCCCAAATGGGACGGATTTGTGTCTGGGAAGCTAGAAGAAGGCCCAAGGATAGATTAAAAAGGACTCACCATATCCTTGTTCATACTAATAACAAAAGCTGCCTGTCTTAGGGTTTGCCAACAAAGTGTTCCCAGTGCCCTTGACCTGAAACTCACTTTACTTTTGACATTTCCTAAGCAGCTGGCATTAAACAGTGGGTTTCTTTATCTGGGCTGTGATACTCTACTTTATCCTTTGTTGATTCTCATCAGCTTCATCACACTGTACAATGTTTGTGGATTAATGTAAACTCCATGAAGATTACTGATAGCACAAACCAGTTGAAATTACTTCAGCAGAAAATGTTTTAAATTATAGAAGGGTCTTTGTGAGGAATATTTTTGTGCTAAAGCACTATTTTAAAACTATTATTGTTAAAAATTCAAAGCTTTTTTGTTCATACAGTCCTTAATAGAAAAGGAGCTTTAGAATGTTTTCATTGTTGATAAGAAAATTGAAAGAACTCATTTGTTTCTAAAAGAAAGAGATGCCTACTGAAACAGTAATATTGAAAATTTGGGGAGGGTGGGGGAACTTTGATATTTTCTATGGAAATAATTTGGGTTTTTTTCAATCAGATGTTACAGATATAAAGAAAAAAAAAGTAAAATTTACTTCCTCTCCTTCCTTTCTTATAGCCACTCTTGCTTTCTGAAGATTGCCTCCTGCTCCACTCTGGACATACACCAACCTCCCACTCATCATGCACTAAAAAAGTCTCTTTCCTCATTCATCTCTTTCCTTAAGAGCAGCTTCTTTGTGAAAGCTTCCTGCATCATTTTTCTCCCTGTTGATGACTCTGGACCTTCTCACACTTGACCTATTGTTCAGTCTGTATTGTATCGATTTGAGTCAGGTTGTTAGGTCCATACCATAAAGGCCTCCAGCTCTGCTTTTGCCCCTCACAAACACAGGAAAGGGAATTATTGAATCTTAATCAGGAAAACTCAGCAAGGTTCCTCCTGAGGAGCTGCCTACAAAATGTCCTGGGGGAGACTCAATTCTCAGTGGAGTTGAGGTCTCTCTGCCCTGCAGGTTCAAGCACTCTTTTAGTGAAGTTAGGACAAAGTCACGATGGCAAAAGCTATGCTGCAGACATCATTACAACACCCAGCACTACTAAAACTTTTCCACAGCCTGACAGCATAGCTGCAGAAAGAATTTGGCTGGTGATGATTGATTTTTTCTTGTGCTTCCTCAATAGAAAACATGGTGAGATACTAAGGCCATTTATAGCACTGGAAATATCTATTTGTTTAAATTGTATATGTGCTTAAGTCATTTGCTGCCTCTTTGCTATTTAAGCTATTCCAAATCCCCTGGTGCATGCTGTATTTATATAGGTGTAGGAACAATCATCTTCCAATGGGTTAGGCATAGAGTATTAGATACGAAAATAAAGATCACAATGAAAAGTTTAAAACACAATTATTTGGTTCACAAAAACATGATCTACTTTTCCTGCAAGTACAAACTGTTAACATATTTTTCATTTTAATGTATGTTGCACATAACCAAAACCATAAAATTAACACATCCATATACACAAATGTTAATATAGTGTTTTCAGCAAACCGCATCTCAGACATTTCTCAGCATCATTGGGTCTCTGATGACACATCTATAGCCTGGATTTATTTTTTTTTCTAATGGAGTTTGATGAATGCTCTGTCAGGAATGGGTGGGATAGGCAGTACAGTTTTGCCTTAACCATTTTATTCAACAGAAAACATTTTGATAATAGAAAATAATAAAACATAAGGGCCATTGCAGCTGAACCTTTTTTTAGGGACTGCCTAATGGCCAGAGTTTAGAGTGTTTTCTCCTCCTGTATGCAGTTTTTCATAGACTTTCTTAATTTTTTATTTTTTTCTTTTTTTTAGTGCTCATTGGTTTTTACACAACAGAATATTTTGTTTAATAATCCTAGAAATAAGGTGTCATTCTACTCTGAATCACAGGAGGGTGGATATATGCCATCTTCATCTCAGAGCTCTTGCTTAAGTGATTTACTTCTCCCTGAGGAAGAACCATGAACCAGTCAGGATTTAAGGCATAAAAAGCATAAATTCCATGATACAAAATCTGTAGAATTTCATCTAATTTCTCAGTCATTTCCTTGGTGAGTAAACCGCTTAGTGTGCAGATGTCTGAAAAAACAGGGCTTTGAGGACTAGCAGGGCTGCCTTGTCCCTCACGTTGGTCATGAACCTTCAAGGTACCAAGATACCTCTGCTGAGAATGACCACACTTGGCTGAGTCCACCCAAAATTACACAATCTGACTCAAAATAAGGATCAGGCTCATTATTTTCTCTAAAATTAGTAATTTTTCAATTGACATTTGTCCACAGAGGCTCGACACAGAAAGGATTGACATGATTTATCACCAATATAAAAAACAAAGAAATGAACCAGAACTAAACAAATAAACTATCAGAAGAGAGTTGTCTCTTCTGACATCAGTATTCATTAGGTACATTAGGTATAGAAAAACATAATTTCCATAGTATAACATCCACTGTAGTTCTTAATAGATGAAGATTAGGGAAATTAAGTGAATTGTAGCAACCTGTTTATTCAGGTATGAAACATCAGAGGCTTTGTTCATGTGGGGAGTTCCAGCTGGAGAGTTATCTGTGAGTAACAACATCCAGTTTCGCACTTGTGTGAAGCAGGCACGTTATAGATATGGCACTCACAGGGAAGCTCTCCTCAGCCAAAGGCTATTGAAACCATTAGTGAAGGCCTGAGCTGCACAAACTGCACCAACAGAAAGTTTTAGGTCATATTTGGGCAAAGGCACCTTTTAGGAGGCTAGAAAATCCAGCATGCTGGCTGGCTTGGCTGCTGGGTTCCTCCTGCTCCATCATACTCCATGGGGACAATTTCCTCTCCAACTGTTAAAAAATACCACTTCTGGTGTTTGTATCCTATTTTGTCTTTGAACCAAAGGCCAGGGGGAGGACATAATACCCCAATGGGTCACAGAGTTCAGCGAAAATCCTACAAGCTTTTCCTGAACAAATAACAGACAGTGACCTCTGGCCCTGCCTTTGCATAAGAATTGACATCAGTATTCAGGAGTTACCGCTGTGACTGGGGACAGCCACACAAATGCCAGATTCTGATTTAAAACTCAAATTTTTTTTAACTTTTTTTTTTTTTAATATTTTTTTTTAAGAACCCAGAAGAAAAGGAGGGCCTTGCAGCTCATCTGCATTACAGATCAGGCCTCTTTGAGAAAATCAACCATCCATAATTCATTACATGTTTCCTGCAGGGCCTGGAGACGGCCGAGGCCCTAGCAACGGAGTCATAGCAACAGCACCCGGACACAACCAATCGGCGGACACCTTCCCGACGCCGCTTAGCCAATCCGGCGTTGCGATAGAGACCGCGGCGATGGCGGCGCTAGCGGGCGCGCAGCCGGCCGCCGGCCCCCGCGGGGCGGTGCCGTTAACGGCTGATGCCGCCGTGAGGGAGGGTGGGCGCGGGAGGACTACGTGGGAGAGGCGGCTGGGCTTGGTTTGGGGACATTCGGTGCTGTTGAAAGTCTGTCAGGCCAAACCTCAATAGTGTATGTAGACGCTAAAAGGCCTGGTGGTTCTTGGTCATAAGGAAGTGGAATAGTGATTTTTTATTTTGTGACAGATAAGCGTACCTATTTTAAAACACTTGGACCTTGAGGAGGACTTTTCTGAGGAAAAAAGCCTTGTATTTGCCTGGCACAAAACCTGGCACAAAATCTCTTTTTCCAATAAAGATTGTTACCTGCAAATAGCTGTATAATTCGAAAAACTTTATGTGCAGCTGGGCTTTTTGTGAAGGAGAAATACTCTGCAACAACTCGTTGTAACACTGTAAATAAGAGATCACATTTTAAAGCATGAACTTAAAAACCAGGTATCTTTTCCTCAGTTGCACCCTGCAACAGTAATTGCCATTTGTGATTTTGCCTTTCCATGCCAGTAGCGTCTTACCTCGCATGACGCGCATTGTTCTCAAATGACATACGGGAGAACAAAGCAAAAATGCAGCAAGTGTGGAAACAGAATAGTTGCGAAAACAACCACAAAAATCTGCTATAGTAGAAGCTGTACTTGGAAAAAAGGTGCAGAAAGCATTGGAGCTTCCCCATGCGCAATTCCTTTGTGAAGTTTTGTTAACTCTCATGAAGTTGTAGTGCCGCTACAAACACAAAAATGTGTAGTTTCCTTTCTTTGAGGGGGAGGAAAGGTACTGAGCTTTGTTTGGATTAAGTAAGAAGCCAGAAAAGCACATTGATAACTAAAGGCACACTTTGGTGCCTTACTGGAGCCATCATGCTCTGTCAAATAGCATCATTTTCCTCAGAAATGCATAACCGAAAACTTGCTTTTGCAATTTTTGTATTTAACATACATTTTAAAAAAATACTTGATGTCCATATGTATGTGGGTACAGAGGTCCATAAATCCTAGTATAAAACTGTATCTTTTATCATTTATCTTTGCGGAAAATGAAACGCATTTATCCGCACCTGAACATTACACTTGAAGCCAAGATACTGTGGGTTATCTAAGTAAGCGTTTCACCCTTCACCCTAAAAGCTGATCCCAAATTCCACTGTAATGCATATGTTGCTCAGATATGAAAGCAGAGATAAGAAGATTTGCTATGGATGCTGCAAAGTACATTTTGGGACCCAGTGCCCCATATTGAACTTTAACAGATGATGCATAAATTGACTAAAGCCATGGAGGCTGGCAGGGGAAGATTGAAAAATATGTTCCAATCTCCCCTCATACATTTTATAAAATGCTGCAAATGCCCTGCTTCATCAAGGCCATGCCTTCTGAGATTCCACAGATGAAAAAGCACCATATAATAACTTTCTTGACTTGACAAATGGCTGAGAACTCCACTGTATCATTTATTTCTTTCAACAAATTAGTAAGACTAATTACTGCGTTTTCTTTTTAGAAGAGGCAATTTTTTGATGGTTTTAAGAGTAGCCATGTTAAGATTTTAACAGCAGTATTTTGCAGTAGTTAAACCTGAAATCAAAATGTTTATTTTACCTTAAGAAAAAAAAACAAAACAAAACAGGGAATTGGTGAAAATCAATCCAAAAGCATAATCACCATAAATTAAAATTTGTATTTTTTTCTTGCCAAGAAAGATCAATTTATCAATTTTATATTCTGCTTGCAATTAGACACAAATGAAGATTTGAATGTCAGGCCTGTGGCTGTTCATTAAAATCCTTTCATGAACCCTGTGGTCTGCATAGTTAAAAATAAGAAATTGCATTCCAAGGTGGTTAAGTTGTCCCATACTTTTATCCTTAACTTTGACAGTTTCCACGCAGGGCTGGAGGCCGCTCATTCTGAAAGGCACAGCTCTTGCTAATGAGCTGCTACAATCACACAACTTAAGCTAATGAATTTCTTATTCTCTTATGCAGATAAAAGTTTCTTTTACAAGTAGAAAGATCTCTGCTTTTTAAGTGGATTTGTACTTCGCATTTGGGGAAGGAGGGGAGGAAAGGATACTCCAGTGACTGAAATTCATTGTGTTCATCTGCATTACTGTGTAGCAATAAACAAATCATCACAGGAAGTGTGTAATGCTCCAAGGCAGAGCCACAGATCCAAGATCAAGGGTGGCACTATGAGCTCACACTTGAGTGAAACAAGCAAGTCTGAGCGGAAGAGCGGATCCTGTCCCTCTTCATATCCTGGAATGACTGGGCATGCACAGGAAGGCTTGGTGCTGTGCAGATGACCAGCATCCCACCAATGTGCAGCCCAGTGTGTAGAACAGTATGTCACTTCTATTTGCAAATCGTTTGTTTAAGGGGGAGTTATCCAGAGCACTGACGAATGGCTCCAGTCTGGAACTTGAGAGCACTGAAGTGCTGTAGAACACCAGTGTTGTGTACTTACATGGGGATCTCAAGGCATTTTGCAGCCATTTACCACCCAAGCCTCACAGCATCACAGAGATATATTTTACCTAGGGAATAAACCTGAAGTTCTTCCACATGTCTTCTATGGAAACAATGCGTTATCTCAAGAGCTGAATAGGAAATTCTGGACTCATTTTTAGTGTGCTAAAGTGTGGAGACTGCAATCGCAGTACCAGGAGTCAACATCTGCCATAAGAGAAGTCATTCTGGCTTTGTAGAGGAAGTGGGGAGGAGGAGAAAAGAAAGAAGTCTGAACTAGAATATGTTCTCCTGTAAGCAGTCTTGGAGTGTGTCAAAAGGAGCTTTGAATCTTGCCAAGGAGTTCATGAAGAAGTTCTGGGTATATGATGATTTGTGTTGCCAAATTAGTTTCGCTATTCAGTCAGTCTTACGAGTACATAAAAAGCCTGCACATCTTTTTTGAGCAGCTTGCTGTTCTCGTCATTTAAAATAGTTAAGGCTGAAATTGTAGGATGCCTTGACAATGTACAAGTGTGTTTTCTTCTTTAATCCTGGGGCCAAATTCTTGTCCTAAAGTAAGCAGCTGCACAGTGCTTATTTCCCTTGGTTCTGCTTTGGAGGTGGCAAAGACGAGCTCATCAACTTCAGAGGGAGCTGCAGACCCCTATCTCTGAACAAAAGTTAGCCTCCAGACTTGAAAGAATCAGATCACCTGTGAAAAGGAAGCTCTTGACAAAAACTTTTAATTCTACATTAACTCCTTAAAGATCTTCCCAGAGACTAATGTAAAGATGGAAGCCTGGTTTTGGCCTGACCCAAAGAGCATGAAATTCAACCAGAACACTTGCATTACTTCGAAGGGTTCAGATCAAGCCCTGAGGGAGTTACCTGCAACAACCCAAACCTCAAAACAACAAGCAGGATAGGTGTTTTTAGTTATTGTTTTCTGTCTGGTGACACGGAAACAAGATTTTCTGGTATATTTCTTATAAGCCTTGCTTTCTTACAGTTCTTCACAGGAGATTAGCATTTTCCCTAAATTTAGGGATGATGTGTACCCAAGGGTCAATAGAAATTTTGCAGTGGATTTGCCGCTGCTCTGGGCAGTGTTACGAAAACCTCCAAATGGCTCAAAACCTTTACTTCAGCATTTCACTTTTATTTGGATTGTAAAGCTTTGCTCAGCTAATTCTGCTATGCCCCAGCAGCCTGAAAAATCCTCAGAAAAAAAACAACCTAGGAACTGCCTTTTTTCTATTGTCTCTGTCCGAAAGGGGTCCAGGTAGTGACTTGTGAGTTCTCTCTGTACAAAGCAGAGAGAGGGAAAAAGAACTAATCTCCCCTGCCCCCCATGTGTGAGAGAAAGCAGGCATGCAGGAGAGTGTGGTCATCCGCAGCGAGAGCAGGGCTGCGGCAGGGGATGACCTCTGGCTGCATATCCACCACAAAGAGACCATGGCATTGACACAGCCTAACTGCACTCCTTTGGAGGGGACAGATTGAGGGGAAGTGACCCTTGGTGCCCCCCTTCTGCAGGGGACCTTGTGAAATAACTGTTGCTCTTCTCTTCCTTCCTCCCTCAGGCAGGTCAAAGAAATTAACAATGAGAAATCTCCCTTTTACTTGGTCATTTGGAGAGCAAGAAAACAAAGAGACTTTTTGCTTGAAAGGGATGAGAAGGAAGTGTAGAACCTTGACTATTTACTTCACTCTTGGGAAATGCACTGTGGTTCCAAAACCAGTCCAAGGGTTCGTGAATGGCAAAGCAGTGGGCATCAGCAGCAGGAGCTCTGGGTGAGGCTGGGTGAGTCTATCTGGGTTTGTCTTCTAAGAGAACTTACAAAATGATCCCTGCAGCTCCATTCCCAAGAACCAGGAACATCAAGAGATTAAGAGCTGTTCCACCCCACTCCCTAATGGCATCTGGTAAATTACTAGTAAAATGCAGTTCTGGGAGGAGAAGGACCCTGGGGGCTGTGGGAAGGAGAAGGCTGCTTTGAGGAACAGAAAAGGAAGCAGAAACAGTGAGGCCCACCTCACAGCTGTGTGAGCAATGTCTGCCCATCCCCACTGAAGTTCACAAAGGGCCAAACCTTGAACCCAAGGCCAGGCCTGAGTAAGTCTGAGCGTCAAGGGAAACATTTCAGGCATAACCCTGGTTCACATCTCTTAGCTGTTGAGGGCAGTAGGTAAAGCACACAGACTCCGTCTCTTCCTCTTCAAAGGAGTTTTAAATGTCTCTCAGATGCACTTGGTGTGAGTTGGGGCAGGAGGGAATGACCTTTGGATTCTCCCTCCAGAGGGAACCTGAGAAAATGACCTTTTGGCCCTTAGCTCTGCGGGTGCTCGGTAGAGGTCAGGAGGAATGATTCTTCGTCCAGTCTTGCTCTCCACAGGGGCTGGGGAGGAAGAGAAAGAACTCCAGGAATATGTGATCACGGGAATTTTTGTCTTCCTCTGAAAAAGGGGCATGTTTACTTCATAGCCCCTGTAAGAAAAATAACCTGCCACTAAGAAACAAGCCAATGCGCTTAAAACAAGAAAGAGCCTCAACTCTGTGACCTAGAAATCAAGGCAGAAAATAAAAGCTAATAAATAAATAAATAAATAAGTAAATAAAATAATCAGGGATGTCGCACAAAATCAAGGGGTGCCCTCTGAAGAGGTGTAATCAAGGCTCTGAGCCATCAGTTATAATGGTTTTGATTAAAGAAAGCTGTGCAGAAGTAATCTATTTTATTTTTAAATGGCCTGATTTTCCCTTGCTACTTTCTTGGAGGCTGAACCTAGAATGATTTGGAGGACAGGAAATGTTCAGTTAAAAATGGCAAGTTAATAAAAAAGAAAACCCACATCCATTTAAGTGACTTTTGGATTTTGATGGCACACTTTACAATTGGCTGAAAATAGCAATGCTTTAGTAAAATAAAAGCAGGAAAGACCTTCCAAATCCTGGCTGGTCGAGCCACACAGTTCTTCACTTCTTCCACCAAACCTGCAATATAGTTATAGGAGCAGCTGTCAGACTGAGCCGGAGATGGGGTTCATCATATGCTGTGTACCTAGAAGCACAAGGGGCTTTATTTATTCTGTGTATTCTTCGCAGTGTGAAACACTTAAAATAAAAACTTACTTCTTACATACTTTATTCACAATTTTGAACTTCTTCAGTTGTTTCTGTTATAGCTGAAAGCTTCTTTAAATCTGAAAATCTTCTGTTCTTATATAGGGTCAAGCATATTGTCTTTGCTTGATAAATAAAGACAAATAGTAGAAAAGAACCTCAACCACTGCTGGAGTGGGAGGGGAGGGAAGTTTACATTTTCTTCCTCAAGAAGGTCAGATGTTTATTCAAGCCTACCCAAGCCTTTTGATCAGGGGATGGGCTGTGTTAGAAATCTCATGAAAACAGCGCTTCCTGGAGAATGGAAGGGGTGGCTGTCTTCAGAACAGCTGGACACAGGGAGCTCTGCTGGATTTAGAGTCTGACAGTGCTGAAATACAAGGTACAGAAACAAAGCCTGTTTCCAAAACGGTTATTTGAATGAAGCGAGATGAGTTCTTGCAATAACCTCCATTGTGTCAGCAAGAGTAAAGTGTGCATTATTTCCTGCCAGTTATACACTACCCAGCACTGAGAGTTCCTCCCAGCTGACTTACATGTTGGAAATGAGGGAGGCTGTGCCCTTACCTTATTTTTGAATAAGCTGCTTAAGACATTAGCACCTGGAAAAGCAAAAGGAAGCCAAAATTTCTACTAAGTGCACAGCTTTGGTTTGGTAAGTTGCATGTGTCAGGATCCAGTCATCCAGCCACTGATAAAAACAGGCCTCATCTTCACTTGCTGCTGATGAAATTTTGGGGAGGATAAACCAGCTGCTTGCAGTTGGTTTTATTTTGACACCTCTTGATGCTTCAGGTTCCTGACTATGTTATTATCACATTCCAAACTTGACATAGAGACTAATACACACAGAAAGAGGTATGTTTCCATGAAAAAATAAAACCACCATTGTGTAATTTGACCTATAAAAGCATTGACAGCACATCTGCAACACAGTCGGGCTGTTTAAAGTTGAACATCTTAACCCTGATTCATGAGGATGGTTGTGAACACGAGCACAGGCAAGATGCTGATGACCTCCTCATAAAGGTAGACAACAGCACTAGGTAGTGTCTGCAGACGCTGATCCTCTGCAAGAAGTGGAAATGCCACTCTCCTGACAAAATACAGGAATCCAAACAGACCTGCAAAGTACAATTTTTGTAGAGGCTTAGAAATTATCTCTTTGCCACAATGAATGGGCAAAAGCTCATTGTGTCCTCCCATTCTGACTCATAATTAACATTTGATTTCTAAATGCTTGGCAATCTTGTATGTTCTTTTCAGTAACAGCATGTGTTCTCTATTCATAGGAAATCAAAGTCGTATGATGTTTACATTTCAGCAGCATGCTTCAGAGAACAAATATAGCCATTCACAGCAGAGCTACTTTTAAATAGCATTAAGAAAATAAGAAAGTCATGGAATACAGGACCAAATGAAGTTACATTCCTCACCTGCTAAAATTACTTTCTCAACATGCTGTCTGTTGCCTCAGATTCTAAGATCTGGAGGTAAAAAACACAATAGTCTAAAATCAAATTGCTTAACCCATTTGTGAGAAATAATGCAATAGCACTTGTGGCCTTGCCTTTATCCATCCAAAGGATGGACCATCCTTTTCCCAAAGTGAGACTCACCCTCCCCAGCTCCCTGGTAGCATCCTATCCAGCAGCAATGTGACACTTCTGCTGCTGTGAGAAAAATTTAGATCCTTTCAGAAAACTTCTTGCAAGATACTTATGTTTTGGTACAATGCCCATTCTGAGTCACAGTTACAGGAAAGCACCCAGGAGTCATAAGCCTCTCTCAGGTACTCTCAGGTACCTTGGTTATCTGCATAATGCTGAACCATGCTGTGTAGGTACACCTTTGTGTTGGTCTTCAGAACAAAATCAGCTCCTTTAACCATGAGGGGAAGCTGGGAAAAAAAATAAATTGTTTATACAGAAATAATGTCTTTTTTTTGTCCTCTTCAAGTAGAAGTTGTTTAGGAGAAAATAGTCCACTCTAAGGTCTAAAGTCACTTTAAACAAACTGGAATTCACCTCCCAGTTTCTCACACTAACGCAGTGAGAAATGCACAAATGTACTGGACAAATCCTCATGCTTGTTAAGGATGGTGAAGCTGCATGGTATGTCACCTGCAGAGCTGGGACCTGGCTCCAGCTGATGGTTTGTGTCCCAGCCTTGGTCAGTTTATGTGTATTCTTTACAAATTGCACAAGGATCTCTGGAGCTCACAGTCGCTGCAGATGAAACATAAAGCCACTTAGTTTTTGACCTTAATGACTGAAAAATGTGTTTAGTAGATTAATATTAAGTGAGAAAAGGCAATGTGTGATAGAAAACCATGCCTTTGAAATCCGTGAAGTTCTTTCTGTTAACTTCAGTGAGCTGTGGTTGTGTGGTTATGTGCATTTGTGTGAACAAGATGGAAAATAATAAGAAAAATCACAGTAGCATTGGGACACAAATACAAGCACAACTGTTGTGCAGGGATTGGTTGCCGTGCCCTTGGCATGTGTTTTTTGTCAAAATACCACAGAGCAATGGCTGTTTGCCGGGTATGTATTATAGCACATACTAACACAGAAAGGGGAGGGGGCATTCAGTGACACATTCTGATTAATTTGTTAACAGGAGCTTCCTTATACTCATTACAGCTATTCAGCCATATCACTTTCGAAATCTGAAGACACAATTTTATCTGAGAGTCCATATGGCTTATCAGGAAACTGTGCATATAGAAAACTACCACAATCCTGAACCAAGATAATATTTATCTAATAGACCATAACAGCTCGGGAAGAGTCAATATGGTCTCTCATTTGAGCATGCATTCTGGTATGCATTCTACCTATTCAAACACAAGTCATTTACATTGCAAGCTATCTGCCTGGCAAAATGTAAGTAATTCTTATAATGGTGGATTTTTTTTTACAAGAGAGATTATAAAGATCACTTGAATGCGTTGTAGTCCATGGACTAATTTGGAAATTACTGAGTATTTGCGTGATAGAGTGTAATGGACTCTGATGGAGCTGTTGGCTTTTATCAGCTAAACTCATATTTTGATATGTAAGCAAATTTGAAAAGAAAAACATTTGCAGAATATTCAGCCAGGCTGCTCTGCCTGACTTGCAGCATCCTGCCTGCTTTGAGTCACCAGGTTGGTAAAAGGAGCAGACTCTCTGCTACCAAGGCCCAGATCTGGCAGAAATGAGCCAATACTGTAAATTCGCTTTTATCCCTACAACTCAGAGAAGCCCAGGAGTATGAAGAGCAGATTGCTGGGGGTTAGTGACTGAGGAGCAAGTGAAGAGGTTACCCTGCTCACTTAATCCTGTACAACTCTGCGGAGAATATCCTATGGTGAATCTGTACTTGCCCTGAGAATCCTGAGTGTGTCCCTGGCTGTGCATTCAGAGAGCCTTTAACAGTGTAGTTAAAGGCTCTGTAGTTAAATACTGTCTGTATTTTCTGTTCTGTTTTCCCTCTTTTGGAAAATAAAGAGAAAAATGGGAGATAAAGCAGGGGCATTGGAATATGGAAAAAGAAAAATAATAAGATGTTAGGTTTTAGTTCAGTGCTTGGATACTGTTCAAAGTGAAGGTGCAGAAAAATTTTGAAGAACACAGTTTTTTTGTGAAAGAGCACAAGAGAATCTTTTTGACAGGTTTGATTATTTGTTTGTTTAAGGCAACATTTTTGGCAAACTACAGCCAAGGAAAAGTCTTCCTGAGGAGGGACTACCCAAAATGACAGTGGCCCCTCAACATAAAGTCTGAGAGCCCACAGTAAGAGGGATGAAGGTGTCTCTCCACTGAATGCAGAGGGACCCCACGTGGCTGGTGTAGACTATGTGCCTGCTTCCTATATGATACAAGTTAGGGGAGACAGAACCTATTCAAATTCTGATTTTTTACCAGATCCTCTCATGGAATTAAAATGGACAAGCAGCAATGCAGTATTGGCCTCTCCAGCAATTTTCCATAAATTATCAAAGCAGATCTCCCCATATATCAAGGTTCACAATCCTTTTAAGTAAATTGATTTCAATTATGTGTTTATACCATCTCCAAGTCATTTGGTGGCATTTCCAGAAAAGGCAGGAGGTTCTGACACTGAGTGGAATGGAGAGTTATTCGCTGTTGGAACCACACAGACAGCAAGTGACCTTGTATACTAGAGTTTTGGAAGGTCTTGATGAAACTGTGCATAGAGTTGCAGTTATTATTGTAATGAGACATTTATGAAGTCAGCCACAGAATACTAAAATTAGAATTCTGGTAAATGAAGTAAACTGAAATGCAATTTTTTTTTAATCAGATCTTACTTTTCTGGAGGATTATCTGTAAAATGGCAGTTGATATAGTGCAGTAAGACAGTATAATAAAAGGAAGTATTTAATTTACTTGAAAATGCATTTAGATTTGATTATTTGAGGGTCTGTCATCAGCTGTTAAGCTGCTGGAATAGGCATCAAGACTTAATATATCGACTACATTACCTAAACCCTTCCTACTAGCTAAATAAATATATGTAATCCATATTCCATTGAGCTACTGAAGCAAGTTGCTGGTGGTAGAAATTAAGGTGTCATGAAGGAATTAAGTTTCTGACCATAGAGCCTGCACTAATCACTGCAGCTTTGCCTTATTTTTGAGAAGAAGACTAGAAAGGAATATACTGAAAAGAAATGGGCTGATTTCTGCCCCTTCATG